GATATTGTTTAAATATTTGGTGAGAGGGTGGACATTCTTTTACAAACTTATCTAGAATAATATCCTTTTTAACTCGTGAAGTATTCTTTAACAATAATTTGAACGATTATTTGCATTCTTGTTTATATTTGGAATAAAAAAGTAGTTTAGTTTTTCCATGATATTTTTTTTAAAAAAAGGATATTTTCATTCACATTACACTGAGCTAATGTCGACAAACTTGATAACTTATTTAATAGTAATTTATTACAACTTAAAAAGTACATCTAAGGCCAAAATGATATCAATTTCAATCTAAGCCTTTAGAGGCGTAAATATTGACATATTTTAATTAAAGAAAAACTTTTTGAAAGCAAATCATTATTCAATTAGATTTATTTGAAAGCACAGAACCAGTTTTAAGTTCAATCTATTTGGATGCCGCAATAGGCATTACATATTTCCTTAAAATTTCCTTCATTTTTTTTTAATCACTTTTAACCGCATTTTATTTAAATTAAATGAATTATTTAATTTTTATTAAAATTTATAAAAAGCGATAATAAAATATATTATTCTAACTTTTTATTTCAATACTAATGTAAGACTCATTAATTGACTGTCATGACTAATCGAAAACCACAATCAGTTACATGGTTATGTTAATTCTCAGTCTTGATGGTGATTCGCGATGGCCTTTAAAATCTTCAATAAACTCCTCCCTCCGTTGAGAACTTTCCAATTTTTGGTGACTTTGGGTACCCATTTGGGGCTTCCAACTGTTAAAAAATATAGAATAATTTTTCTTTAATTTCATGTTTTAAATATGGCTATTTTTAATCTACTAATATTTACTTAATAAATAAAATTTTTCTTAAACGATCGTTTTGTTGAGATAATTGTCACTCTATCACAACCAAATTAAGATGTATCTGTAACAACCAAAAATATGACTACAATGATTCTACCTGTTCGAATCCACTCATTAATTTAAAACCGTCACTATACCATGGTTGTTTTAACATGATGATAAAATGATTTAAATGAACATCGCTCACTGAAGTACTAAGAACAACTCGCAAAAGAAAAGACGCTAGCAGATATTGTTTTAGTTTAGTGTATGAGAAAGACTCCTAAAGACCCCTAACAAATACAAGAAGGGATGTTGCAAGCAAAATGAAACATTCAATACCCCCTAGGACGGTTAATATAAAGACTTGATATTGAAAGCATTAATTTTAAAGTCCTACAAAATCATTTAAACTTAGGTTACCTTCATTTGTTTCCGTTGAATGTTCAGTGTGAATTCAGTCTTAAGACATATCTTTGCTTATAAATAATACGGGTTAATTGAAAGTATATCAAGCAAAACTTGATATAAAAATGGGTCGTATCATTTATCCATTTTTATATCAAGTTTTTATATCAAGTTCTCATCTTGTATTGAAATTCTGAAAGGAATATATGTTAATGAAAGAGAAACTTTAGCATTTTAAAAACCTTATTTTACAAATTTCAACTAAAGTATTCACTGTCTCATTATGCACATGGAAGTATACGGAGTACAAAATAAAAAGTGGACCACACTGAATAATTTTTGATCTAATGATCGATTTTCATGTTCTCTATCTTAAAGATTCAAGAGGATGACCTCAAACATGCTAATTAATTTGCGCAGAAAATATTTGAAGTAACGAAATCACACAAAAACGTAATTTTTTGCTGAATAAACATGCCTTTTTCCCCGACAAATTCGGGTTTCTGACCTCCGAATTATAGGGGTAGCTGTATTCAGGGAAATAGGGAAGCAATAGTTTAATCAGACACGTGATCTAAAGTTTACATGCCTTAAAGTTTAACTTACATTTTGCGTATTTCACCATATCTCATGAAATTTTAAAATTAATACAAAAATTTTGCACACAATTACAAAATACGTTTATTAAATGAATACTTTCCTGGACTTATGCAAAACCTAAACCTTCGGGGTACTGAGAGAGTTAATTTTGGCATTTGATTTGGCCTCTCTCTCAATAGAAAAGGGCCCGTACCCCCTGAAGACGTCGGCTTCGGTGGTCATATTTTTATTTCCTTCGTTTTCCTTATTGCTATACTTATACTTTCTTTTCAAAATTCTGCTGCTCTTAAGCGCGTTTCTTTCAAAGATAGTTTTGTCAATTTAGAATTAAATATTTTGTATTCTTTTACTATTTATTCAGAGAAAGTTCGTTTTTTTGTCTCCATAACAATCTCTAACTAATTAGCATATGTGATGTACCCTCTCGAACCATTAAGATTGAGTAAAAAGTTCATTAAATCAAAAGTTATTAAGAATTTTTTCCGCATTGCACATTAATGTTACCAATCTACGATATCTCACGGAGAGACTCATAAATAAACAAGTTATTCAAGATGTCCACTCCAGCCATAATCCTAGAATATGTTAGTACGGCCAAATTATTAGACGCACTATAAAATTCTATGAAAAATCTTAATTATCAGCTTTATTGTTTTTACGCAGCTCAAACCGGTTTGCACTTGCTTACGTTCGTGTATCAATTGGTTAACATTGTAATGCAAATAGGAAGTATATAAAAAATCTCCAGAATAGAAACCCATTACACGTACGTTCAAACATAAAAGTATTGCGTATAAACTCTTGCAAAACATGTAATTATTAAAACATTACAGTACCTCAAATAATTTGGTCTAATTATTATAATATACTAATATNATCACGGATCTGGTCGAAGGCCTAGATTAGGATATTTAGAAAGTGAATGTGAATCAGAGCCGCCCTACCTTCCCACAATGTTGACAGCATACCCGTCCCAAGGTATCCTCATTTAACACTCCTTCAATTACTCCTGATTCATACATTTATAGGATTTAACACTCCTTCAATTACTCCTCGTTCATACATTTATAGGAAAATATATTCTCACATTTTTTGGAATCCTCTGGCTCTCTACAACTACTGGACCGATTTTAATGAAATTTGATATATTGATACAATTACTGTAATACACACGCATGATCATGCTGTCAGAAGGTATGAAACAGCGAATGTAGAGTAAGCAACAAAAAAAAAGATCTGGTTGAAGGCCTAGATTAGGATATTTAGAAAGTGAATGTGAATCAGAGCAGCCCTACCTTCCCACGATGTTGACAGCATACCCGTCCCAAAGTATCCTCATTTAACACTCCTTCAATTAATCCTCGCTCATACATTTATAGGAAAACATATTCTCACATTTTTTGGAATCCACTGGCTCTCTAGAACTACAGGACCGATTTTAATGAAAATTGATATATCAATACAATTACTGTAATACACACGCATGATCATGCTGTCAGAAGGTATGAAACCGTGGTTGTAGAGTAAGCACAAAAAAAGGTCTGGTCGAAGGCCTAGATTAGGATATTTTGAAAGTGAATGTGAATCTGAGCCACCATGCCTTTTCACAATGTTGACAGCATACCCGTCCCAGTAGAGCAGTGTTTCCCAAACGTATGAATTTTGTGTACCCTTTCTAAATTTTTCGTAACTCTGTGTACCACTAATAAAAAAGTGAATGTATTTTTTACCATGAAAAAATTGCGAAAAAGTTAAAAGTCACAACTGGCTGCTGACACTAATTATTAACCGTTAACTCTGCAAAAAATAGCCAATAGAAAAATACTTAATCGTAAATTTATGGCTAGCTTTGTTTTTACATAAAATTTTTTTAAATTTTCGTTTGTTGCGAGATATTTCGCATAAGAACGCGTACCCCTGCTAAACAGATCACGTACCCCTGGGGGTACGCGTACCACACTTTGGGAAACACTGCAGTAGAGTGTTAATGAGAGTTCTGGACCAGGGGAATCAAAAACGGAGTGCGTAACCCAAAATTTAAAACAGTGGTGTTAAGAAACACCATAATATATAAACCCCCACCCTCTAAAACAATGAGAGAAAAAAATAATCTATCACACCCACTTTTAAAAAACAATTGTATTCTAAATCTCTAAATTATCAAACCCCCTCAACTAAAATTTTAATGGTTTTTTTAACCATTAAAACTCATTGTTCCTCAAATGTCCTACTCCATTTATACAGAGGATGTATTTGGTTTCCTTAAAGGATCATAAAAAGAGACGCGTGTATTATGACAAATCTCTGCAAGATGAATACAATTTATCTTTTCTTTGTTTGCTTCGTAAAATTCATCTGACAATACCTTGCTTTTATTTTTAATCAGAAGACAGAAGTCTATTTTAACGACAAACTCTATTATGAAATCTTGATTTACCTCCTGATACCGTATAATATAGTCCCTATTTCCTTCATCTTTAAATTTTCTTATCATGTCCATCGTCAGCTTTTGATATGTAGAGACCTCATACATATTCAAACGCTGATGATACTTTTCGATAAATTTTTCATTGAGTTTTTGATATTTTGAAATTTTATGCCAGTCGACTTTATCTATATGTTTTACAATGAAATTAATAGACAAAGTTTGATGTCTACTTATTTTTTGCCAATCTACATAAACATAATGCTTTTCGATAAAAGCCTCCGATAGTTTTTGGTATTGAGAAATAGTAAACCAATCATCTGGCTGTGCATATCTTTCGATTAAAATTTCAGACAATACGGAATATTGAAACACGTACTCCCATTTTAAATAGTCAGCTAGACTTATAATCACATCTTCGGAAAGATTCGTTTTGGAAAAGTCGCACCAATCAATTACAGCAGCCATTTATTATAACTAAAATTTTTCTTTTATTGCGTAATGTCCTAAGGCCAAAGTGTGAATGCCATCTTCCAATATATGTCGCTTGTCGTCTTTTGCCGATAGCGCGATCTTGTTCACTTGTATTGAATGAATCTAATGTTTCTTGCTTCTGATGAGATTCATTGTTCAGTATTGATGTTCTCCGGTGAATAGACAACTTTTGTAGTCCTCGAAGGTGATTCTATTTTGGACGACGCACTTTTTAACTCCTTTTGATTTTTTTAAAAGTTCCTTCTAAGTTCTTCCTGCGTACATTTTGGCTCTCAATCCAGCGAACTCTTCCAGAACATTTCCAGCATTTTCATCCTTCATCTTCCCTAATACATTTTTGTTCACTCGTGGCATGGCGTAAATGCTATCTTCTGGATAATCGGATGTGTCGAAGTGGTCTATCATTCCTTTCATATCTTCATAGAGGTCCTCGGTCTGTATATCATAAATGTAACTGTCAGTATCCATGTACAATAACTTGATATTTTCCCCATATTTAGGCCTCATCACATTATAATAAAAGTGGTACATCAGATGCTTCAAGAGATCTAATATACTCATGCCGACGGGTATTGGCTTGTTAAAGAGCACCTTGGTCTTGTTCATATGCACGGCGACTAACTTTTCGTCAAAGAGGGTTCGCCCCTTGAAGTTCGGCTTAGCAACCAGCTTCTCTGCCTTCTGGGAATCACACACAAGTCGGATATCGAGCCTCTTCCTTATATTTTCCAACGTCTTGCCAAAGACTGAGTTGTTCATAAGTTTGTAGAAGTCCTTCTCAAAGTCATTGGCTGCCTTTGTCCTCATTTCAGTGTTTATGTCTATGTACTTCTTCAACCAAGGAGATTGTTTGAACAGCAACACTCTATGCACCTTTTTGAGCTTTATCCCCAATTGCAGCAGTTGCTTCAAAGCCCTGTAATGAACCACATAGTGCTCTTTGTCATAGAGAGTCGTCAGCAGTTTTCGTTGTTTTGAGCCATCGGGGATCCTGCTCTCAGGTGCTAGAGGTAGGTCTGAATGGAGGTTGTGCAGTTGAGCTGGGTAATGCAAGTCGCACTCTATGATGCATCCTGTGTCTGAGTCATCCGCTACTTGGGTCACATCAGACACATTGCTCCACCTAAAGCCTCCATATGGTAGGTATTGACTCATGGCCCATCCATATAGGTTATTAGCATCAAGGCACATCAAGTAGTTGGACTTCTTGTTCTTATCATAGTCCTTCATGTACTTGTTATTCGCCCTCCCATATCGGTTACAGCACTGAGAGATGCCTCTTCTGGTCCCCTTTTCCAGCATGAGCATCATGTCATAGTTTGTCAACAGCTCTACTTCGACTTCCGTGGTTTTTAGCATGCCGTCCCACGATAGTCCGGGTGCAGTAAAGTACCATGCAGGATCCCACTTATAGGTCTTTAGACAGACTCCTCTAAAGTGTTCCATGAACTCGGCTAAAATCAGCACATCAGTCTTCACATACAGGTCGGAATATTCACCCAAGTTCTTAATATCGAAGGCCATCCATACCTTCTTAGCATGCTCGTAGTCCTCATTCTCTATATTCAATTGGTTGTAAAAGTCTTCTTGTAGGGGTAGCTTGATTTCTTCGCATTTGTCCCACGAGTCCATGCAATCGTATTGGTAGACGCCTTTTCGGGTGACGAGGTCCAGTTCATCCTTGGGGAAGTATTTGGACGTCTCCCTGAACTCTTTCACGCTCTTCCCGAGACTATCGCGGCAGGTGGCCATGAACTTGATCGAGTCGACAAACCTCAACTTTATTTCAGGCAACTTCGCTTTCTTCCCATCGCCTACATCTACTGTTTTTGCTCCAACCTCCTTACTAAAAGAAATATACCTTTCCTCGGTGTTCGGGATGACGTCGATACCACCTTGGTCCCCACCCAGCTCCTTAATGAAGAGATGGGTGTCGTAGCCAGACAGGTTATGGATGAACACTGGAATGAATGAAGTCTCTTTATACATTAGGTTGCAAAGGTTATGGGCTGTTCCTCCATAGTTTGATACGCATTTTGCTGGGTCGAGAAGGTGGTCGTGATCCCTCACCTTTTGGTGGTCCAGTGCATCCTTAGGCGAATAAGGGGAAGGTTTCTTCCTAACATCTAGCCCGCAGATGTGGCAAACATGAGTGTTTTGAAAATGCTCTTCATCTTCTTTGGTCATTCTGATGGGTTGCTTCTTATCATAAATTTCCTTTATCACTAGCGCTTCAGCCTTCACTGTATCAAAAAACTCTATGGCGGCATTGGGTCCTCTGTATTGGTGCTTTACAGTCACCGTGTTTATATTTAATGTAGACAGTGAAGCTCATAGGTTCATGCTTTTGATATTTACTTATACAAGCGTAGCTTAGCCCTGTCCCGCCCCCGTAGGGGGCATCCAGGTAAAACTTGGCGACCATCGTTACTGTAATCCTCGAATCAGTCGGAGGACCCAGCGGTGCATGGACACGAGGTTCCATGGCTCCGAGTCACACCCGACAAAAGGAAACACAATCGTTCGATGGACAGAGGAGGCCTAAGGGGACATTCCCGAGACGGGTGCGGCGGTGCCAGGCTCAGCTGCAAACGACTCACTAGGAGTGTGGCACCGAGAGACAGCCGCCACACCACGACCCATCGAGGCATCCTCTGACTGGAAGATTCTGAAACCATTTAGAACATTTATTAAAAAATTTAGTGCAGTCGAAATAATGACCGACGACCTGTCGGTCTTACAAATAAATGAAAAATACAATTTGAAAGCACCCGGAAGGGGTGGAGGGCGCCACAGTCAGCTCACAAAAATTGGGGAGTATTCAGCATGAAATCCTTGTTTTTAGTACTGCAATCGCTTGGTTGGATGGGCACGATCTTTGTCTTGCTGGGTGATTGACATTTAATTTTGAGCCGTATTTTTTGTTTGCGAAATCGCAATTCACACATTTACTCTCCTTTTTGCACTCGTTCATCTTATGCCCCTCCTCACCGCAGTTTGCGCAGTTTTCTTTATTCAGACAATCTTTTGCCATGTGCCCGTATGTGTTACACTTATAACACCTTAATGGTCTTAAGTATTCTTTGGCCCGATGGACGGACCAACCAATTTTAAGCTTTGTCTTTCTCATAATTTTCTTGAAGACGCTAGGGTCTGTCTTGACAACCCAGTGTTTTCCTTGTTTGCCTTTGATGGAGAAGCAAACTTTGAATTTCCCATCAGTCTGCCACTATTCTGATCTCCTAATTTTTTTTGAGCTCTTCCTTACTAATTGTCTCATCTATATCAAATAAGATGACTCTTGGAAGTCTTATGGGTGGAATTTGACATTTGAAATCTTTATCCAGACCCTGCTCTTCGAATTCTTCTTTAATTTTCCTTGCATCATTCTTAGTCAACGTTCTGATTGCTATTCCGCCTTCTTTTAATTTCTTTAATTCCTTTGATTCCTACTTGAAGCTCAGTTGGATCAATCTTTTCTTTAAGCGACTTTTCCGTTTCCTCAGAGGAACAAGGCGCAATTGGGCGCACGACCACCTGATATTTATACAATGACGATCTGTCATTTTTAGGGCGGCACGACTTTATTTTGTTTGTCAAGCACTCAAAATCTCCATACATCACAAAGGGTAATCGTAAAGATCTCTAGTAGTTTTTGAGGTGTAAAGCTTCATCTTGCTTGGGCATTACAATCTATACTGGCGTATTCTTCCTACAATCCGTTTCGTGAGCTTGGAGGTCCTCTTCGGAGGAATAATACAGCAGGCATCTCTCACAGATGAACACTTTTCCGTTGTGCTTGGTCAGCTGTCCGCTTATCAATCTGGAGAAGTCTTTCATCCAACAGTAATGACTGCTTCCCTCTTCATTTTTTATGTAAAGAAGATTGACGTGCTTGTTTACCTTATTTTTGGTTATTCTCAAGGGGTATATGCCCTTACTCTTTGTCTCGCCATCATATGTGTATATGTTCTCTGATATGTCGTTTAACTTTTCAAACTTCCTAATGACCCTATCATCCATTTTTACTGGAAATTCGATGCCTTTGAAGCTTAGTTCGTCTTTGTATGGTTGATATTTAGTGAGCCTTTCTGCGTGGTTTTCAGCTGGATAGAGAGTAGCGAGTACGGCCCACCTAAAGCACGAGTTGTCTTCATTTCTTACGTTTATGACTGCTTTTTTGTGTTGAATCCTCTGCGGCAGCTCGATGTGGGATGATCCTCTCAATGGGTTGTATTTATTGATCCTGAGTTCTAGGTACTTTACTTGAATAAGCCTCCAGCCAGACCCTCGTGCTTCGAAATCCTCCATCTCCGTTTTCAGGTTGTCCACGGCGGCGGCATAGAACTTTTCCAGATCAGTAGACTCCAAAATGACTTCATTCTGAGTTTTGAAAGAGAACTCCTGGACTTCTTGTTCCCGCTGAAAGTCGCAATAGAGCTGAAGGTTCGCTTTGACTCCTCTCGCCTGTGACAGTTTGCCAATTATCAACGCTTTGCAATGTTCTAAGAAGACAAGCGACATTAAGAAAAAGTGTACATTGTGAATTTGCCAGGTTTGGAGCCTGGACCTAAAGGCTGATTCAACTAGTTCAATTTCGGTGGGAAGTTCCTTCGGAAACACCCAATTGGTCGTTTTTCTTTTTATGGCTTTTACACCTTCTCTGATGAGCCTTGCACCTTTACTAACTTTTTCAACCATCCAACTTCTCCATGACTGCTTTGGTTCCTCTATTTGAATGGTTTCTACTGGTTTTTCCTTCACTGCTCGCCTATGTGCAAGCGATCGAAGGTGATGGCCTTTGTAAATAAGTTTATAGTGTTCCCCACAGACATCGCATTTGGTCAGGGGTTCCTCCTTCTTGGGTTGGCCCTCCTTCTCGGGTTCCTCCTTCTTGGGTTCGTCCTCCTTCTTAGGTTCCTCCTTCTTGGGTTGGTCCCCCTTCTTCTCATAGTTTTTGTGCTTTTTACTTTTCAAATGGGTCTTCATGTGCGATTGTTTGTAGTACTGATCGCAGCACTTCACTTTAACTTCTGCGCTCTTGCCTTCCTGGATAAGCTCAAATAGTTCTGCCTTTTTAAGTTTCGAGTATCCTCGAATATTATTTTCCCGACAGTAGCTTTGCAACTGCCGAACAGTTTTAGATTTAAAACTTCCATTTTATATATAAATCTCATTTCTTTAAGTGCTGAATATATTGAAGATCAAATTTAAAAGACATTTTAATGGTTGTTAAACCATTAAAAAGCGCTCCCAAATGGAGTCATAGGTCTGATCATAGGGCTCTAGTGTACATTCCTCTGTCTCGAATGCCTCTTTGATGACGTCTATGGAGCATTGGAAGAACTCGCCTTCAACTCGATAGATGACCAACTTTCTATGGATCACTGTCTCAAGTGTTCGCGCATCTGGACTTGTGTATAGAGTGACTACAACGTATTGTGGTTCACTCGAATGCCGACAGTCGTTAAAGATGTCTAGTCTTTCCTGGAGGTTTTCGGTGTAACCGATCATGAAAAAGTTGTGGGGGTAAAAGGTAGTGACAACATACGCAAACCCCTCCTAACATACATCGATCAAAGATTTATTCATCATCTTATTTATGTACCAAATGTATTTTTTAAGTGATTAAAATATTAAGGGAGTAAAATTTTAATGATTGTTGAAAAACCATTGAAACTTATCGTTCCAAATTCAACGCCATAACACAGTCATGCAGTTCATTTAAAATGTTTTCACGCACCTTTCGTTTTTCATTACGGGCAATTTCAATCATTTCATAAATACAACTCTAGAAAAAATTGTTTACATCTCTGGATACTGTAGGGTGATCTTTACCGAGACTTTCTAGAACTGTTGCCAAATTTTCGCATACATAAGCTAATGCACACATTTCTTCACCACCCACATGAGAATACAGATCTTGTATATCATCTAAACGCAAGTAAATTTCACCGTAAATATTCATGTTCTTCTATTTATGCATTAAATGTCTTTCTTTAAGTGCTTAAAATCAAATTTAAAAGGAGTTAAAAGGAAGTTTCTTTAAAATAAATTATGATCGAACCGGAAGTAATAAGACTATTTGACCTTTCTTCAGAATGTAAGCAGATATATGTAACACGAAATGAGGATGGTTGGTACGTTTGCCCCCAGACATGTCACGAATAACTGAGGTATAACCCCAATAAACCCCCAGTCGTTCATAGCCGATTGTATTTGGAGATGGTGAACCAACGGAGAAGGATAAGCAGAGTGAAAAATCTGGCTAAATGGCTGGGTACGTATAACCTACCTTTTGAAGAACAACTGTTGTATGAATTCATAGACTTTATCAATAAATATGAGGAATTGTATCCGGAGCGCAAAAACTTAATCAGCAAAGACTATATCTTATACCAAATGTTACGGGAAAGAGATTATGACATCTCGCGCCTTCTAGTTAAGTTACTCAAAATGAAGAAACCGCTAGCTCAAAATGAACAAATCTGTAGAACAATCTTCGAAGCATTAACAACTTTTAATAGCTTTTTCAGCTATTAAAAATTGACTACATCTTTTTTATCAATCCAGCTGGTCTCTGGATAACCTAACCATTTGACTAAATATTTGTCCCCTTTCTTTTTGATGATTTTTTCGATCTTGTCCTTATCGTATTTTACCAGTTCTTTTTCATAAAACTTTGACGTCTTCATTGCTTAAATCTTTAATTCTGTAAGTGATTGGATCGGTTTCTAATACTTCAGAAATGACAAATATTTCTTCCGCAAAAGTTGCTTGATACCCTCTTCTAAAGGTTGATTTATATATCGATATCTTAACTTTATCTCCCACTTGAAATTTAGGTTTACTAATCACCTTCCCTTTATACAAATTATGATACACTTCACCACTGTTTTCTTCTAGACTGGCTTCAACAGGAGTCATTTTTATACTTCTATGGTATGAGTTTTTATAATTCCTCACTAATTGATCCAATACATCTATGTATCTTTCAGTTTGACCTAAGTAGAGCTTTATTTTATTACCCAGAGTGAGATTAAATCTTTCAATCATTGCCGCTTTTATTTCAATAATTTCTGTTGTGAACCATTGGATATTATTTTCTTTAAACAATTTTTGAGTCGTTTTGCCGACAAACTCTAAACCTTTATCCGTTTGAATCTTTTCAGGCATTCTTTCTTTGA